TTTGCCACAGCTGTTCCACATTGTAGTGGAAAGTATAAGCCAGAGCTAATAGATAAGAAATTGGAGGCATCCAAATTGGAAGGAACAGGCAAAGCTATCTCCTACAGATAGAAAATGGCAAAGAATTCACAGGAAAGCCACCAGAGGTAGGAAATCAATTTTTGCCAAGTTTTAGGGTACAAGATTGACACACAAATGCAGTTATGTTTCTATGTACCAGCCACGAATGACACACAAAATAATTTAAAGCAATTATGTTTATAATATCATCTAAAAGAATAAATCTAACCAAGCAGATGAGTTTCCATTTGTCTGCTGAAAACCAAATATTATGTAAATAAGTTAAAACTTAAATAAATTGAAAAGACATCCCATGTTCATAGATTGGAAGACTTGACTTTGTTAAGATGTCAATAATGCCAGGTGTGGTGGCTTACACCTGTAATCCCAGCACTTTGGAATGTCAGGTGGGTGGAGGAGTTCAAGACCAGCCTGGGCAACATGGTGAAACCCTATCTTTACTGAAAATACAAAAACTAGCTGGACATGGTGGCACACCCCTGTAGTCCCAGCTACGCGGGAGGCTGAAGCAGAAGAATTGCTTGAACTCAGGAGGCGAAGGTTGCAGTGAGCCAAGATTGTGTCACAGGTGACAGACTCTGTCTCAAAAAAATAAGAGTCATCCTCATGCACATCCTCCTGTATATTTTAAAACATCTCTAGATTGCTTATAATTCCTAATACAGCATAAAGGCCATGTAAATAGTTTTTATTCTATATGGTTTAGGGAATAATGAAAAATCTATGCATGTTCTGATGCAAGTATATGTTTTAAAAAAAAAAAAAATTTTTTTTGAGCTGGAGTCTTGCTGTGTCACCCAGGCTGGAGTGCAGTTTCGGCTCACTGCAAACTTCGCCTCCCGGGTTCAAGCAGTTCTCCTGCCTCAGCCTCCCAAGAAGCTGAGACTGGTCTCCCAACTCCTGACCTCATGTGATCTACCCACCTTGGCCTCCCAAAGTGGGATTGCAGGAGCCACCACACCGAGCCAAAAAAATATTTTTGATCCCCGGTTGAATCCATGGATGTGGAATCCACAAATATGTAGGGCTGACAGTACTTTACTACAATTGTTTTATTTATTTATTTATTTATTTATTTGAGATGGAATCTCGCTCTGTCACCAACGTGGAGTACAGTCATGCGATCTTGGCTCACTGCAACCTCCGCCTCCTGGGTTCAAGCGATTCTTCTGCCTCAGCCTCCCGAGTAGCTGGGACTATAGGCACACACCACCATGCCCAGCTAATTTTTGTATTTTTAGTAGAGATGGGGTTTCACCATATTGGCCAGGGTGGTCTCAATCTCCTGACCTCGTGATCCACCCGCCTCGGCCTCCCAAAGTGCTGGATTGCCGGCATACGCCACTGCACCCAGCTTTTACTACAATTTTTTTTTAAAGGAAAAAAGGGGGGGAAAGTGTGCAAAGAAATTCTAAACTTTCTCAATTCCATGCTTTTGCTTGATAGAGCGCTTTTAACCGACTACCGTAGTGTCATCAGTTGTCCTTGGAAGGCCCTTGCCAGTACTCCTGCCTACATACTTCCTTTCTTGTGGGTTTGCAAAGACATTGGAATCTCATTTCCACACCAAAGTACCAGACGCCAAAAATGTAAAGTCGTGAGTTTATTGCATATGTAACAAAATGAACCTGACCTCCTGGGTCCAGCCTGCTGTACAATCACTGTTTGTTTTGTGTTTCCAGCTGGTTCCATAACCACATTAAATAGAACTAGTATATCATTAAATACTTTTGATTTTGACATAAAACAGAACATTAGTGTACAACTTTCACAAAATAAATCAGCGATAAAAACAGTGGGAAGGATAGCAGCAATACTTAAAAACAAGACGTTACAAAATAAATTAAAAATACATTATAAAGTGGTTGAGAAACAAAAATAAACAAATTTTTTAAATCCATACTATGTTTCGGGAAGGCTGCCGTGTGGCACACACCTGGCTGCAGATGGGGGGTGGGGGAGACATTTTGTCTGCAGAAGGCCTTTCCTGACATCTCAGATTGGGTGACCCACCTAATCTGAATTCGAACCATACGGCCGAACAAATTAGGGGTCGGAATTCGATCTGGTGGCAGATTCTCTTTTCAGAATTTGAGAGAGCCCTTTTCCTATCGCCCAGGGCCTCCCAGGCAGCCTCGGCTCTTCCTGCTGAAAGCACTGGTGGAGTGGTGTTTGCTGCATCCCTGAGTGTCGGCTGATGGCCGCTGGTGAGGGCAAGCCTGAAAGGTTGGGCCCCTGAAGCATCTGGGCAGAGGGGCAGGGGGCATGGCTGGATCGCCTGGGACCACCGAGAAGGGCCACGCAGAGATCACACATGGACGTGCTTTGCGCGGACCCAAAGTAGAACAGTCGGGAGCTTTTACCTTTTGCGTATTGAGTTCTTGGGGGTGGTTCAAAAGGACTAAACCAACCATCATAGAAACTGAAGGTTCTAGGAGCGCAGTACCACTGACAGGGAGGCCTGTTTAGAAAGAGTGAACTGGAGCTCTGGAAAGGTCTGCAACACTCACACGACCGATGACAAGGCGGCAAACCCACACGCAGGTGGAAGTGGAAAAGCAGAGACAGGCTGGGCTGGGACGGGAACGCATGTGTCCGCCAGGGCCACCCGTGGAGGACACAGCCCTCTGGCTCTGGGCTGAAGCGACACGCGGCACGAGAGGCAGGGCAGCACCGACCACCTGAGGCTGGCAGGTACAGCTGCTAAGGCTCGCCTCTGACTCCTCCCAACAGCAAAAAGGTAGTTTTAAAGGCGTCAAATGCAACATTCCTGCTTCAAAGTCTTTTAAACCACAAGACCCTGGTTTCCTTCCTAATTACGGCAGATTTTGGATACCACCACCAGGAAAATCAGGTGGTACTTCCGACCTCATCCTGGAGGCTGCTTCAGTTCTTGGATGGATGTCTCTCCCGCCTCCCGCGGGTTAGGCTCAAGATAGAGAGTGGGCTCTCTGGGGGAGGTCTGTAGTTTTCACTTCCTCGCCTTCAAGAGGAAGATGCAAGGAAAGGCTGGATAGAGCCACTGGGGAATGGGCTTCTAGAACGCCCTCAGGAAGCATCATGGTGAATGAGACACAGGATACGCCCACCTGGGGCAAGGCAGAACTTTTGAAAGAGGCTAAGCCCACCATTTGGCCTGGACTTTTGGCATAAGGGATTAAACTTTCCTCCTTCAGCAAACCTCATTTGGCAGCCCGTCCATTCTAGAACCTCAGCAGCCCAGAAGGTAACAGTGACAAAAAGAACAGATAAAAAACAGTCATCCGCAAGGTTCTTCCCAGGCCATCTCAGACCCACAGCGGGATCCCAGAGACTTCGACAGCAGTGTAATGTCTTGCTAATGAATTACCCTGTACTTTCCCCCACCCCCAAACAAAAACAACAACAAAGAAACCATACAGGAACATTGGTTGCCGCTGTTTTTTGCCAAAGTTCAGCTACTGGACATCAAGCCACTTTAAAACACTGTTTGACTTTTATGCAAACTGTAGATGGTGTCAGAAACTTCGAGTCTAGGCTTGCTTTTGGCCTTGCTCGTCGTACGAAGACATCTGGGCAAGCGAACCGAGTAGCAGTTGTCACCGGCTGCCACTGGGAAAGGGGCCACATGAGGCAGTGTGTAGTCGACCCCTGACCCCCGCGGTCACAGGTTTGCGTCCACACCCTGCTTTTTGTAGACAGTATCTTTGGGTGGATTTGCCTCGAGGTTATCCTTTCCCCATTGCTTTTAAGCGAGTTCACACCAAGCCAGCAGCCATGGTAACGCCATTTTGTTAGTTTAGCTCTTAGCAGTTGCTGCATCGTGGTTCACTAGTATTTTCAGTGACACAGGCGATGCCTCTATGGACAGCAGTGGCGCAGAGCTCACAGCTTTGGGACTGACTGGTTGGTTCTAGGGCTGGTTTTGGTCTGTTCTTTTATACACTCTGTGACTTTGTGTTTTCACTGAAAAAAGGTCAAACTGGACAGATAATGCAGCAAAAGGAACCCTTGAAAGATCATTTTTCTCGTTTTGTAAAACAAAATTTTCAGCCAAGATACCCAGAAAAGAAATACCTTGGGCCTCCAGGAAAAGCTGCTCCAATTCCTTCTCCTTTCAAAGGGGAAACATGTTTTGACTCAACCTTCCTGCTGTGGCAGAATTCCAATAAGCATACATTATATAGTTACTTTTCAGTTGGGAATTTCTGCTACCCATAACAGGCTGCTGGAATGTGAAATTTGTAATCTGAGCTCTGGTAAGATATCTAGCAGCTGCTCAAATTGAAAAGGGGCCTCCAGGCTGTTTGTTTAGAGATGGAATAGCTGGGACAGCCACCAGTTCCAAACCCTCAGTCAACCACGCTCAGTCCCCTAACTGTGAGCTGATGCTCCTATAAAGAGCTCAGGGCCGTGAGCCTTATCACCACGTGGGTTGCAACCATAGCAGAATATCCTTGTGACCGAAGCCAAAGGCCCTGGCTGCATTTTATTGGATGGGTGATGGAAGTGGGTGGGAGTACTATAATAAGGAGGGATGTATGGGTGGGAGCCACCAACAAAAGTCCCCCATCCCCCTCCCGCAACAGAAAGGAGAGAGACAACCCTTTCCCCTCAGATGATCTGGAATTCCAGGGCCTCTGCCAGCTTTGCAGGAGGCGCACAGAAGCTGGATGCTTTTGGTCTGGTGGCCATGAGCTAGACTCTGTTGCCTTTGGTTGTTCTTCACTCCACAGCAAACCCGCAGGTCTCCTCCACGGCTGTCAGCAGCTTCTCGTAGAGCTTCTCATAGGACTCATATGGTGGAATGTCGATCCGGTTAAAGCTGAAAAAGGACAAGAGAATGAGAGTCACCGCATGGGCAGTCCAGCCCTAGGACCAACCTCAAGGCCAAGGACAGGTGACAAGAAGTGTGTATGGGAGGGGGAAAGGAATGGGGGCGGGATGGGGGAGGTGATGAGTTATCCGTGTTCCCTCTGTGCTTTTCTGCTTCTAATACAAAGATTTTTAGTTTGTTTTTGCTTTTTGGTAGAGACAGGGTCGCACTAGGTTGCCCAGGCTGCTCTCAAACTCCTGGCCTCAAGTGATCCTCCTGCCTTGGCCTTCCAACATGCTGGGATTACAGGCATGAACCACTGTGCCCAATCAACACACAGCAGAGTAAGTCTTTGGCCTTCACAACCAAAACATAACCAAATTACTATTTACTGCTTCTATCAGGACAATGTTCTCCACTTGTTTTTGGTTTGTCTGTCTTTGGGAGAAATTCCTTCTCTGTGCTGGGAATGCCTCTTTGGCAGCCCCTGTAACCCAAACTGGCTGTCAGGCACGTCATCACTGACAACGTACTGCATGTCTGTCTGCTTCTCTGGGACTTGATCTGAGACCAAAATGGGGCAGTCTGGAAAATTCCCTGCAAAAACAAAATAGATCCCAAAACTAGTAACATGACAGATCCTTAAAAGATGAAATGAATATTCAACTTTTGACTCTGTATTTCCAAGGGGAAACTGGTTTCTAATATTTGTGGAAAGAAAAATGTCCTTTAAGAAGCAAACCAAAAAAATACAAAATTGTGACCCAGAGGACAATGAGTGACTTCTTGACTTCCTAGGGGTAAGCAATTAGGGACGGTTTCTATCTCTACAGAGCCGGGTTCCAGGGCAGGCACACTTTTGTCTGAAGCTTCAGAGGCTACTTTTCACATTTATCTTATTCCAGGCACTAAACTGCTAAGGACAAAAGCCTTGTGAGTAGGCACCCACCCAATGTGGCGTGTTTCCATAATGGGACAACACAGCCATCTCGGAGCAGGGCCTTGGCACCCACCACGGTCCAGGACCAGCTGTATTAATCCCCGTTTCACAGATGTGGAAAACCAAGTTGTTGAAATATGAGGCCACTTGCCCCAAATCGCATGTCAGGGTGTCACAGCTAACATTTGATCCCGCATTCTTGGGTTCCAAGTCAGGAACCTTCCACCACCTCTTGGGGCATCTCAGCAGCATCTGGAACTGGTTCCCCCAAGGAGATGCGGCTGCTTGTCTCAATGGATGGTTCCAGGACAAAGTGTGTGCAAGTGATTGGATTTTTAAAACATACAGGGAGTAATCTATGGAGAGTCACTTTTAAGTTAAAATTTAGGAAGAAAACATTTGTCAGTAGACAGGGTGCATCTGTCATAAGCAGGATTCCAAGAAGATGGGGACCAGAAATGTCAGATAAAGTGAAGACTAATGCATCCAACTGAAACACTGGCCAATTTTCCTTACGAGCAGGTGCATGTACACACACACATATGCACAAGACCTGGCAAAAAGGAAGACTTGAGCACGCTGGGGTGGTAGCCATGCTCCACCGAAACACCAGTGTTAATTACATGCACATCACAAAATTAGACTCTGATAGCCTTTGTGTGGCATGCTGCAAAGTACTTGTCCCATCTGATACAGCGCTACTGCCACTCATTAAGACTTGGCATACATGAAACACAGTCCTACAAATCAGAAAACAGCTTTAAAAGCATGAGGACAGGAGCGGTGGCTCACACCTGTAATCTCAGCGCATTGGGAAGCTGAGGTAGGCGGATCACCTGAGGTCAGGAGTTCCAGACTAGCCTGGCTAACATGGTGAAATCCCATCTCTACTAAAAACACAAAAACCAGCCAGACGTGGTGCCAGGCACCTGTAATCCTAGCTATTCAGGAGGCTGAGGCATGAGAATTGCTTGAATGCAGCAGGCGGAGGTTGCAGTGAGTCGAGATTGTGCCACAGCACTCTAGCCTGGGTGACAAGAGTGAAACTCCATTTCGAAAAACCAAACAAAAAGCTAAATCAAGAGAAAATCTCTATTTAAATTTTAGGTTACATATGCTGTAGATTTATGTTGTTGTTGTTGTTTTTTGAGATGGAGTTTCAGTCTTGTTTCCCAGGCTGTAGTACAATGGCATGATCTCAGCTCACCACAACCTCCGCCTCCCAGGATTAAGCAGTTCTCCTGCCTCAGCCTCCCAAGTAGCTGGGATTACAGGGATGTGCCACCACGCCTGGCTAATTTTCATATTTTTAGTAGAGACGGGGTTTCACCATGTTGGCCAGGCTAGTCTCGAACTCCTTACCTTGTGATCCACCCGCCTCAGCCTCCCAAAGTGCTGGGACTAGAGGTGTGAGCCACCACGCCCCGCCAAGTTTAGCAATAATTTTGATCCTCTTATACCTATTTTGTTACATGGCCAGTAAAGCCGCTCTATACAATGTTGTCATGTTGGGGAAAAAGTCACTTGCTTGAGGGCTTCAGAATTGTCATTCAACTGTAGAATTTTTCCGTCTGTCTCAGGTGCTGTGGCTTTTGAGTTCTGATGGTGACAAAAATATTTTGGCAGAGACTCGGTCTCAAAACAAAACTAAAGTGACCGCCTGCATCCTCCAGGACAGGCCCCCAGGACTCAGTGACCTGCCGGCCGCAGTGCTTACCAGGTATGGGCCTTCGGAAGGTTGTCTGTGTTTGCGTCTATCAGGTGGATGGTGAACAGCCGGGGCCCTGCCGCGCCTGTAGAACCTTACGAGACAACATTCTAGTTAATGCACTTCAGAGGCACAGCCATGGCATGTCCCGGCCACACAGCCCCCCACGAGCCAAGGCCCTGACCACGTTCCCAGCCCCCCACAACCAGGCAGGCTGTCCTGTGAGAGGGCCGTGGAGTTCACAGGCCTGGTTTTAGGATATGCCTGCAGTGGCCATCAAAGTGACAAAATGCAAACTTTTTTTTGAGACATGATCTCTCTCTGTTGCTCAGGCTGGAATGCAGTGGCACAATTTTGGCTCACTGCAACATCTGATGGCTGGGTTCAAGCGATTCTCCTGCCTCAACCTCCCGAGTAGCTGGGATTACAGGCATATGCCATCACTCCCAGCTAATTTTTATATTTTTAGTAGAGACGGGGTTTCGCCATGTTTCCCAGGCTGGTCTCAAACTCCTGGCCTCAGGTGATCCACCCACCCTGGCCTCCCAAAGTGCTGGGATTACAGGCATGAGCTGCCACACCCAGCCAAAATTCAGACATTTTAAGAATATCCCAGGGGGCAGAACAAGGACGGCTAAGGACCCTCCTAAAGTACACTCTGACCATGAGCCTGCTCCAAATAGGCTCCCTGAGGATCAAAGCTATTTGTACCCACCCTCTGGAATAGATGACTTGGCCCACCAATTCTGTAGGGCAGGGAGAGGCACCAGGCCCCTGCTTCCTCAGGTCTCCCCAAACTCAGCCCCAAATGAGCACCAGGCTGGCCAGCACAAAGACCGCTAGCTGCCGGGCACTGGGAAGGGGGGCACAGAGGCCACTGGCCTGGGCTTTGCTGCCCCTTGCTCCTGTATATTCACAGATACTCATTTCAACCTGGGCTAAGGTCAATGTTTGTTAGGACAGGAATCCAGGAGAGTTGAGGACAAGCAGAGATCCCATCTTTATGTTGGGCAGAGGGTCTTGGAATGCATCCCCCTGGTTCCTGGGGACCTGGGGCAGGAAGCTAGCTCCTCCCCGTTACACTCCACACCCTCTGACCCTGATCTCCTGGGGAGTCAGGACAGGCTGGACCAGACATGCCCAAGTGAGGGCTTCAGAGACCTCCTGCAGGGCCCTGGCCACTCTGCCTGGCCCTGCTGCCAGTCATTCCCTTCCCTCAGCACCAGCACTCCGGTACTGGACTGTGACCCTGTCAGGTGAGCCCTGGTCACCTCTGACCCACCTTCTAGACACTTCAGGGACACTGGCCTGAAGTCCATCTGATTAGGGGACTGATGAGACCCTTATGATGACAGAGATTCTAAGCAGGAAAGTTTAGCACATGGGCCTGCTGCAGGCAGGACGATGGCAGCATGGTCATGAAGCCTGGATTCCTGCCCTGGCTCACCGCTCACACCTTCCAGGGTTTTTTTTTCCCCCTTGGAGGGAAAATAAATCCCGTGACCTCAGTGAGTCACAGCTTCCTCTTCCATGGAATGGGGCTAATTCCCGCTCAGCCAGGCTCTCCGGGTTGTTGGGAGAACTGAAGGAGAAAGGCTTTGTAAATAACAGGCTCCAGCAAGCTCTGGGGGCAGCTGTCATGGTCAGGCTGGTCAGGCAGATGGAGGCTCCCATATACGAGCGAGTCTCAGCCTCCAACCACTTTGTATTCATGCTGGGCCCCTGGCAGCAAATCCATAGGCAGAGGTCATGATGGAAAAGAGGCAGGTGCCCTGATGACCTCCTTTGACCCAGCAAGTCAGGGAATATTCTGTCTTCTCAGTGTGTCTGTATGTCTATCAGCATTTACAGTCTAGTCAGCTAAACTTCAGTACGGTGACACCCTTCACCTCACTCCTTCCAGCAGCATCTCCTCCAAGCCCTAAGTGTAAAAGATGACCTACAAGCAGATCGGCACCTCTACCACAGAATTCCACCCCACTTCCAGCAACTCAAGTGGCTTAATCAGAGTGAGCATCACAGCACCTTTCGGTGTGTTTGTGGCTAAGTAGGGGTTCATGTGTAGCTTCAAGCTTCGGAGCCACTGAGACTGGTGGTTCCCCCACAGCTCCCTAACCAGGGTCTTGGCTAAGCTGGGCTCACAGAGACGGAAAGTGCAAGGCCTCCCAGACACTTCAACGACCCCTGCTGGCCAGACCCTCTTGGCTTTTTGGAAGCAGTGAGGAGGGGGAACCCCCGTGCCCGAGAGTGGCTCTGCAGTCTTTGCTTACACCCAGCCCCTGTCAGGTGGCCCCCTCTGCAGCGCAGAGCATTCATTATTGGAGAATACTCCTTATGCCATTTTCTAGCACACGTCTCAGAAAAACATCCCAGCCACCTTCACTCTTCCTGCCCACAGCCTGCAGAGACGTATAATCAAATAGCCCCGCCTCCACGTCAGTCACCTTGCAAAGCCTTGAAGCCTTGGAGCGGGACTCGTGTGGACCCAGTCACAAACTGCAACAGCCTGGCCCTCCTTTCTTCATCAAACGTCTCCACTGCTTGCCAGAACCACCGGACGATGTTGCTGTCGGCCACACAGTGCTTTAGCCGCGTGTTTGACTTCCAGTCGTTCAGGTCTATTTTATCCAGGCCACCTATGATCAGCTGAGGAGGTGCCGAAAGGTGAGTTACTCCCAAAATGTATAAACCCACGTCAGGACACGCCTCCTAAGTACCCAACACACACACACAAGTGAAAAGTCAGTTCCCAAACAAAGCAGTGGCTGTGTCCAAAGAAACTAGACAGTAGTTGAGACAGGAAGAAAGCTACGAACAGAAGACCTGTGGTACATGCTTCCCTTCGCCTCCTCCAGGCTGGCCTCCAACCCAGAGGACCACGGTGCACAGCTACTGATGGGACATCATCTTACAACCAAAGCAGGGTTTCTGCTCTGCATTGGTGAGGAGTGAGTATTAAAGAACCACCCAGTGACACTGAACAGAGCCAACCGTGAGTAAGAGCACGTCCCGGGGTCTCTCCAGGACACTCAGGGACGTGAAGTTTCAAGTCTGAAGAAAGGAGAATTCAGCAAGAGTTACGTGGGGCTGGGGTAGATGGGATGTGTTTCTGCAACTTGCTTAAAAAGTTCATCCCCTGCTGGGTGCAGTGGCTCATGCCACTATATTCCCAGCACTTTGTGGGGGCTGAAGTTGGGTGGATCACTTGAGCCCAGGAGTTCAAGGCCAGCCTGGGCAACATGGCGAAACCCTGTCTCTACAACAAATAGAAAAATTAGCCCAGCGTGGTGACATGCACCTGTAGCCTCAGCTACTCAAGAGGCTGAGGTGGGAGGATCGCTTCAGCCTGGGAGGTCGAGGCTGCAGCGAGCCATGATTGCACCACTGCACTCCAGCCTGGGCAATAAAGCAAGACTCTGTCTTTAAAAAAAAAAAAAAAAAGGACACAAAAGTTCACCCCAGAACTACTGCCCCATCCAAGCTCTTGGCTCCCAGGCTCTCCTCACTGGCAGTAGAAAGACTCGGAGAACAATCTACAAGGCTTGAGCTGTTTCGCACCAGCGACAGTAAGGGATGAATGAGTCACTGTTCAAGCGCATGAGCAGGACTGGAGAGGACAGTATCCCCTTGTTCTTGATCTAGTAACAGCCAGAATAAAAGGCAGTAAGTTGTGGGAGAACCTGGTTTTCCCAGGAAAGGAGAGGGCCACGTGATCTCCCTGCTAGAGATCCTGAAAACGAGAGAAGCCACAACCACCTTGAACAACGTCCCGGGAGTTATTCAGATTTCCGACCACCATGCAGACATCTCACTGGTTACCAACTGACATAAACACCCTCTACTCCCCGCTGTTGCTCCAGCTGACTCTATTCTGGGAACCCCAAGAGCTCCTGGGCTTTCTAGAAAACAGCGCATGCCACACCCTGCATCAAGGATTTAAAACAGGCAGACGCCAGCCACGGGGGAGCCCCTGAGTGCCCTGGGTGGACTCCGCACAGCAGGCACGTACCTCCAGTTCCTTCTGGTCAAAAGGCTTCAGCAAGTGTTGAGGGATGAGTTCATTGAACCCCTTCTGCAGAGCTAAGAACTGGGCTTCAATTCCTCTCATAAACCTCCAGTTTACATACAACCTGCAAGAAAAACTCACAAGTTGGACGCAACGCCAAGTGGATTTTCCTCCATAGGCAGGTTTTGTTTTGTTTTTGAGACAGGGTCTCACTTCGCCCAGGCTGGAGTACAGTGGCGCAATCCTGGCTCACCGCAACCTCCGAGCAGTTCTTCTACCTCAGCCTACCTAGGAGCTGGGCTTACAGGCATCTGCCACCATGCCTGGCTAATTTTTGTATTTGTAGTAGAAATGGGGTTTCACCATGTTGGCCAGGCTGGTCTCAAGCTCCTGACCTCAGGTGATCTGCCCGCCTTGGCCTCCCAAAGTGCTGAGACTATAGGCATGAGTCACCACACCCAGCCCTTGAGCAGGTTCTGATGTCACAGTCTGACAAACATGAGAACGTATTGGGGGCCCCCTCTAGATCTCCCCACCAAGACACACAAAAACCCCACCAGCTAGTAGTACCAAAGCTTAGCATCACGTTAAAAATGACTCAGCACGTGCCCTGATTCATTCTGGTTCGCTACTGAAAACAGCAGGATTGAACCCGACTTGTCACATCAATTGCTGTAACTTGAAAGCACGTTCTGGCCAGGCATGGTGGCTCACACCTGTAATCTCAACCCCTTGGGAGGCCAAAGCAAGAGGATTGCTTTAGGCCAGGGGTCCGAGACCAGCCTGGCAGCACAGCAGGACCCTGTATCAAATGTTAAACATTTAAAAATGTTTAAAAGTGCAATCAAAAGGACAGCGCAGGACAGCCGGGCACACAGCCATGCCCACGCACTTCTCAGCTGCCAGTGCCTAGGCCTGAACATGGATTTGCCTCAACTTAGGGATGGAAAAGACTGATAGGGTGGCTTCCTTGGACGGATCATAAGACCCTCCAAGCAGCTACTCTCTCCTTGGCCCCCCAACTTTGCACCCAGAATTAGGTCGTCACTTGAAGGTCCTTCCCCACGTGGGCTCTGTCCCTCAGGCAGGCCTGGCCTCATCAGGACCCCTCCAAGCAGATCCCTGATGCGGCTGCTGAGCTGTCAGTTTCTGAAAATCACTTCTGTTCCTGTGATCTGATCACAAGCAGTAGCCATCACGGACACGCAGGCCTCACACAGCAAATGAGCTACAGCAACTAAATGCAAACTCAGTCATGCCCTAGGTACCTGGCTGTGCCCCCTAGGCGACTTACCTGACATATTCTTTCTTGTTCTCCTCTGTGACAGGCACGTTTCTGCCATTGGGTTTCAGTTCATGCTGAAGAATCCGCCCAAAGGCATTGTGTTCCACGCAGAAGGTATGGTCCAGCACCGGTGTGATGTCATTCTCTCTGTTGAAGACAGAAGGTGACGTCGGTTAGAGTTCAGCCACAACGTGCCAACGAAAGGAACATCAGGTAGGGCCATCGGGTAGACAGACAGCGTTTAGGACTCCCAGACCCAGGCTGCGAGAGAGGACAGCCGCAGGTGGACACGGAACCCATATGGGGGCGGCATAGCAAATGGTGCTGGGAGGACCCGGAGACCACAGTTCTGGTTCCAGATGTCCCCGACTCCTGGCTTCCTCACTCATAGAAGGAGGGCAGCATAGAAGGCAGGAAATTGACCTGGAGATGAAGCCATGCCAAGAAAATACATTTCTCCCCTTAGAGCCAGTCTTTCGAAACACATCAGTTCAAATGCAAAAGCACTTAAAAGTGAAAATTAGCTCTTGAATCTGCCACAATTTTTGAGCCGTAAGCAGAATGGAAGTTTTTTTTTTTTGAGACAGAGACTCACTTTGTCATCCAGGCTGGAGTGCAGTGGTGCGATCTCAACTCACTGCAACCTCTGCCTCCTGGGTTCAAGCAGTTCTCCTGCCTCAGCCTCCTGAGTAGCTGGGACTACAGGCACATGCTACACCCGGCTTTTTTGCGTGTGTGTTTTTAGTAGACGGGGTTTCACCATGTTGGCCAGGCTGGTCTCGAACTCCTGATCTCAAGTGAAATGGCAAGTAATCTGCCCACCTCAGCCTCCCAAAGTGCTGGGATAACAGGCAATGAGCCAACACTCTGAGTGGAAGATTTTCTACCCAGCCCCTGGAGTCCCCTTTTCAAGTTGGAACATGGGACATAACTAGGAGGCCCCTACTCCAACTTATCCACATTCCTTCTGTCTGCCAGAGCAGAGCCTGATCTTTCATCCCCATGAAATCCGCAAGACCCATGACACTCACAGTTCATCTTGTCATTGCCTGCTGTCCTTAACAGAATGTCTAGAATAATTCTAAAGCAGAGGTACCTAAATGTTCAATTTGTTTTGATACGGGCTTGGCCCCTGTGTAGGTTAACTGGAGACACCCGTGAGTGTCACACACGCCCCACACCGGGCCTGGGGAGTAGCCTGTTAATGTTCGTGATCTTACCTTCATAATTCAAGGAAACGAAAGAATCTAGTCCCTGAAGAGAAGCTGGCCCAACATCACGAGGAAAATAAGGCAACTGAGTATTTTTTTTTTAGGCTAGATCTGGTGTTTTTTTGTATTTATTGCAGTAGTGGGGTCCCACGATGTTGCCCAGGCCGGTCTCAAATTCCTGGGCTCAAGCAATCTGCCCACCCTGGCTTCCCAAAGAACCTTCTTTTTTGTTTCAGGTTATATAATACAATGGCTTCTTTGTGTCTCTTCTTCAATTTCGCACCCATCCCCAAAATACATGCACACGCATGCATACAGACAACAGAGGTGGTGGTGTGCCCCACGCCAGGTGACCATGCACCATCAGTCAATACTTACAGAATCCACACCAGGCTCTTATGCAGCTCCGGGTCCACGGATTCCAGATCCGAGAGCTGGATGGGCTTTCCCAGGAGCTGCTTATAGAAGGGCACTGTGAAGCCTCCGTTGATGTAGTGCCCATGGAACACAGCCAGCCCCATGATCCGCCCCACAAAGTGGAAGTAAGACAAGTGGTCCTGTAGGGGGCACCAGAAAACACAAATTCGTCAGCACGACGCTGGTCAATGTGGGAATCTCATGCTGCTGCCACAGGCTTCTTTGGAAAAGTATCCCAGAGGCAACCAGACTCAGGGACTCACAGGCCCCACTCATGAGCAAGTGAAAGATGGCTGCCTGTGTAGCTGAGATTTGCATAGAGTCACCGGACAATGTTTTGTATGTTCTCAGGGCCAATACCTCCTCAGAGGCTATATAACTTGCAGAGGAGCCCAGTCCAGTGCAAAATGAAAATGCAGAGTCCATGCTCAACAATGACTGAGCATTTCACCTTGGTGACAACGGAGAATCAAACCAAGCGCGGCTCGACACTGCAGGGCCTCAGCATCCTGCAGGACGCACGCCCAGGAAGGCAGCCCTGCATTCCCTCCCACTGCACGAGAAAGACAAGGGCAAGCCCCCTTCTTCTTCTACCACCCCTCCCTTGATCCAGAATGAAAGGAATGAGGGAGGGAAGAAATTCTAAGAAGGGGGACCAAAAAGACCACAGGAAAATATGTATGAATAAGCCAAGTAAAATAAACAATTCTAGGCTGGGCGTGGTTGCCCATGCCTGTAATCCCAGCACTTTGGGAGGCTGAGGCGGGCAGATTACCTGAGATCAGGAGGTCGAAACCAGCCTGGCGAACATGGTGAAGCCCAATCTCTACTAAAAATACAAAAACTAGCTGGGTACAGTGGCACAAGTCTGTAATCCAAGCTACTCGGGAGGCTGAGGCGGGAGAATCGCTTGAACCTGGGAGGCGGAGGTTGCAGTGAGCAGAGATCATGTCACTGCACTCCGGCCTGATCAACAGAGCAAGACTACGCCTCAAACAAACAAACAAAAATTCTAGAACCAGAGCTGTCTGGTTTTTAACTCAGGAACCTACGCCTCTGCTTTCAGGTTTGAATTGTGTTCATCTCAGAAAATGAGTGAAAACTCTGCTTCCATGTTGGCAAAAGGTTCTTCCACATTTGAATGCACAGGGGAGCCTGTCTCAACTTCACCTCAGTGGCCTGAGCAGGACACTGGTGAAGGCCGTGCTGCCAGAGGAGGAGTCTGCCCCTGGCTAGCGGCCCACCCTTGGGCGGAGTGTGCAAACACCACGCTGACTTCCTCATCTGTAAAACAAGCACGCTAAGGGTGGCATTTGTGGCTTAAAAAGCCAGTTCTGGAAAGATTCCAGTTGTGACTGGGAGGAGGCTGGACTTTGGAACCCACTCCTTAGAATGTCACCATGAACAAATACAGTCATCACACCAGAGTTCCCTCAGTGACCATGAAGTGTCCTGAGTATATGAACAGCTTAATCTCGCCCTTCATCTCCTTCAATACAACATGCCCAGTGATCACAATCTCTGAAAATACAGGATCGAAATCCATCTTAATCCAGTTTTCACTTTACCTTTCCATGTTTTGCTTACCACTGCCCTCGATTAAGTCTACAATGAATAAACCAAGAATGGAGAATGAAACTGAAAATCCATCTCAAAAATTCTCCAACTCAGTTCCCCCTTTGTTCATTCATACTTACAGGGTTGATTGAAGAATCTGGATTTATTTGCAACATGTAAATATTGTCTGTAGAATACTGGAAGAGCCCATAATATGGATTCAGCATTTCATGGCACAGCAAATAAAGCCATTCCCTAGGAAAAAACAACAAACATTCATTTTATATGTGCTAAAATTTCTACAGTTTGTTTTTTTTTCTGAGACAGAGTCTCACTCTGTCACCAGGTTTGGAGTGCAGTGGCGCGATGTCGGCTCACTGCAACCTCTGCCTTCCAGGCACAGGCGCGTGCCACCAGGCCTGGCTAACTTCTGTATTTTTAGTAGAGACGGGGTTTCACCATGTTGGCCAGGGTGGTCTCAAACTCCTGACCTCAAATGATCCACCCACCGTGGCCTCCCAGAGTGCTGGGATTACAGGCATAAGCCATCACGCCAGGCCCGAGTTATTATTTTTTTAATATTTGCATCATTTTGTTATTTTTTTAAAACTCCAAAGTTGAAAAGAGTTAAGCAAAAAAAGAAAAAGAAAGCATTTTAAATAGAGGTTGTATGATTCAGTGGCTACACTCAGGTTGCGATAAGCCCAGCTAGCAGGGGAACCCTTAGACAAACACCTGTGGCAGATACACAAACAATCTTTTATTCATTCTACTCAAAACGCCTTTTCAATGGATCACATTAAGATAGCAGCTCCAAATTTTATTTGGACTTCTCAGACAGAATGAGAGAGAACAGGGGAGGATAAGCACAAATGCAGATAATCTGTCCAAGAAAATTGTGAGAATACACAAAAAATATTAAATGGACATAGTTCTGTATTGCACTCAGAAGAACAGAAAGGAACTGCCTGAAGAGATGAGACTCTGAATCCTATAAAGTCTCTTTACTACAAAGCAACACTGCTGGATTTTCATTCATCCCAAAGTTTGGAGTTTGGATTTGAGAAGAACCTTTTTTGAAAAAGACAAAGACCTGCAATCGTCTAGACAGGAAGTGATTACAATACAAGCAAACAGTCTGACCGAGCCATGGACGACGTAAAGATACAATCAGCTCTGTTCTGGAAGTGGTAAGGGAAGCAATAACTAACAGGCAAAAAGAGGGCGGCTACAGGAGGGGCTGTGGACTAAATACTGGGGAAATGAGTGTAGCCTGGCTCTCCCAGATCAGATAATGAATCCACACCTGCACATGTGTAATCCACATGCAACTGACTTCTCTCCACCCTCTCTGAGATAGGCATGATCCCGTTTAGACGGGAGGAAGACTCCAGTGGGTGAAATAACACTGCAAGACCAAGCTGGAGGTGGCAAAGCAGGGATTCTCAACTCTTTCTACTCCAGCATCATGCCGTTCAAGGGGACGTCACAAAGACCATCTACGCAGAAGACTGGACGACTAAGGAAAACACAGAAAGGGTGTAACTCCTACCAAACCAAACCAGGGAGTCTGATGGCTACGTCACAGGCATTTCAGAACAACCAAAGAAAGGAAATGTGCAAATAAATTAACAAAAAGTAAAATTCCTTCATTTGGTACATATTTACAGAGGTAAGTCTTTGCTGTGTGTTAGGTGCTGTTCTAGGAACTGGGGATCAGCTGTGAACAAGACAGGGTTCCTGACTGCATGCAGTTTATGAGTCTCTTGGAAGATGCAGACGAGAAACATCACACCACACACCCATGCAGTGGTCACAGCATGACAAGGGAGGGCACCAAGAAAAGGAAAGCTATGGGACACCCAGGACAATGGCCCTAACCCAGGGAAGCAGTGAAATCTCACGATGACTGCAGCACAGAGGAGCGAGAGACTCGTCATCAGGCTGCACAGAAGCCTCAAGGGAAACACAAGGGGGCTGTCAGAAGGTATGATGTGTAACTGTCCTGGAGGACTTTGAAGTTCCAGGAGCAACGCAGACAATGAAAGCTACTGGGGAGGGAAGAAGACTTTGGGAAGCTGAGGTGGGAGGATCACCTGAGGTCAGGAGTTCAAGACCAGCCTGGCCAACATGGTGAAACCCCATATCTACTAAAAATACAAAAATTAGCTGGACATGGTGACTTGCACCTGTAGTCCCAGCTACTCGGGACTGGGGCACGAGAATCACTTGAACCTGGGAGGTGGAGGTGGCAGTGAGCTGAGATCGTGGCAGTGAGGTGAGATCTGGCCAATGAACTCCAGCCTAGGCCACAGAGTGAGACTTCGTCTCCAAAAAAAAATAGGAAGGAGAAATTATTGGAAAAATTAGAATTTGCTCCAAAAAATTAAATAAATTCTAGAATACTATTTAACTCCTTAATGGACAATATTTACATTCATAATATAAACAATATAAACTTTCATCCATTTACAAATAATTGGTAGACAAGCATAGGAGACTGACCAAATTTTGGTTACAGAAGAGAATGTAAATCTTCAACCTTGACAATATAAAAGTAATGTTACAGATGACAGAATTTAAGAGGCAGAAAGAATGCTGAAGAGAAAGTTACAAGTATGAATATCCTGTTCTTATGCAAATGAGAGGTCCAAAGATAATGTCTCCAGTTGACAAATCAAAAAATAAATGTGAAAGCACAGGACATAAAGTTACAAATGATGGAAGAACTAAAAAGATTGATATTACTAAATTGAACATGAGAATAATTAGATTCAGTCTATCTTATATATATATGCCCATAAATCATTAAATCAGGAAATAACAAGATACCTATTCAAACAGCTAAAAGAGTTAAGAAGCAGTTGTCTCAACCAAGCACAGTGATTCATACCTGAAATTCAGCACTTTGGGAGGCCCAGATGGGAGGATGGCTTGAGTCCAGGAGTTTGAGACCAGCCTGGGCAACACAGTGAGGCCTCATCTCTACAAAAAACTTTTAAAAAAGTAGCCAGGCATGGTGGTGCATACGTGTAGTTCCAGCTACTTGGTAGGCTGAGGTGGGAGGCTTGCTTGAGCCTACGAGGTCGAGGCTGCAGTGAGCTATGATTGTGCCACTGTGCTCTAGCCTAGGCGACAGAGCAATACCCTGTCTCATAAAAAAAAAAAAAAAAAAAAGACAAAAAAACCCACCCATAATTGTCTTGAAGGTGAAAAGAGGCAGGACATGAAATAGCAGCTTTTCATCATTCTATTCTGTTTTTTATATCATTTTCTTGAATTATTTTGACTAAAATTTCAACATTTTATTTTACAAAATTCCTTTGACACAAATGCAATTTACACGCACAGATGCAATCCCTGTGGAGAGGAGAGCAAGGCTGCCCCCTGTGCCAATTCAGGAACATGTCCCTTATGTTTCAGATGAAGAGAGTGAGTTTAAAAGTTTAATTCTAGCTTTACAAGAAGTCAGTCAGTGGTGACGATCATGGCTATTCTGGTGGGTTATGGCAAGAGGCTGGCACGAGCATGCTCTGAGGAATTCTTATTCTCAGCAGGGTAGCTGAAGCCAGCGCATGATGGCCTGACTGCTCCAAGGATACATCGGCCCTGCCCAGGAGTGCTTGGTGATGAGCACTAGAGAAGGGCAAGTGACTTCTCTTGAAAAAACTGTTACAACTATGCTGAAATCCACACAGCAGAGAAGGTGAATGAATTAGCAACTCACCTCGCCACTCCACCGTAATCCAAACCTTCTTCCCCACGGAATTTCACCATGAGCCGTTTTTTCAAATCTTTCGGTCTCATCTTCATTATCTGGCGGTAAGACTCCTGAACATCAAAATTACAGTTTCAGAGAGAAGAATGGTTCTTATTCTTAAAGTTATAAAAGGTTATTGATAATGGAGCCTGGTTAAGGGTAAGCATTCATTCCAATTCAAGCTTTATCTGGCTCCTAATTAGAATGTTTCTTTGGCATCTAGTCTATTCCATCATCTTTTTTCTCAGTTTCTCCCTTTGAGACAGCAACAAAACAAACAATGCCAGGAAACGCTAACCTGAAGGGAAACACGTGTCTGTTTTCAGTGAATCACCAAGGACTTAGACAGATCTCACTAGAGTTGATTTTTCTCTGTATCAATTAATATCAGTGCAAACTATAAACAACTTAGGCATTGCAAACAAAATCAAGACATTGGGAAGTCTGAATGCTAAGAGAGTTCTGACCTGGTTTTATATCTAAAATGAAAAATCACATTTGACTTCCCACTGAGTCAAAAAGCAAAAAAGATTTTAAGTTTTTAAGTAAGACATAAGGTGGCTTAAGCACTGCACAGAACACGTGATCAGCCTATTTCCCCGGACTCAGCACTTTAAGTAGAGGCTGCTGCATGTTTGTAGATACATTCAGTGACAAGGCACTGAAGAATTTTTCAGCTTTAAATTTAACGAAATTCAAACTCCAGCAACCCAGTCAACGCGTTGGCTCAAGCCTATAATCCCAGTACTTTGGGAGGCCAAGGTGGGAGGATCACTTGAGGTCAGGAGTTCAAGACTAGCCTGGCCAAGATGGTGAAACCCTGTCTCTACTAAAAACACAAAAAAAATGTCGGGGTGTGGTGGTACACGCCTGTAATCCCTGCTACTTGGGAGGCTGAAGCAGGAGACTCACTTGCACCTGGGAGGTGGAGGTTGCAGTAAACTGAGATTGCACTCCAGCCTAGGCAACAGAGTGAGACTCCATCTCAAAAAAAAAAAAAAAAATCAAACTCTGGCAAGAAAGAGGAAACGATCTGGTAGTAAAGTCAAAACTTCAGCACTTTTCTAGCCCTGCAACAAGGGCAGACGTGCAGCAGACAGGGCAGGGTGCTGTGGCCAAGCTGCCCATCCAACACCCAGGCCACACCTCACGGTGGGGAAGGCACTCGGCTCTCTCGCCCCTGGTGCTCCCGCAGCAGCTGTCACCCAGGGAGAATCTGTGCTCAGTCTCCTGTGATCATTTCTGACAGTGTCTCCACAGAGGAGGGCAGGAAATGGTCCAAATGCCATGGAGATTTTCCTGTATGGTCGGCTGTCTTGGGAAAAGGTCCTAGTCTGTTTAGGGCCCTTCCTGCAGGAAGCTGTGTAAGGGACAGAGCCTGTCCCAAGAACTACCTGCTCCTTGCCAATTTCCATAGGAAAAGCAGGACGGCCCCCAGCCCTGAGAAGGACGGCCCTCAGATGACATCCCTACACAAGGACACAGGAGGGAGGCTGCCTGGCTCTGGGGAGAGTGCAGATTGCCGGAATATTTCACTCACATAATGTAGACAAGGCAGTTCCCATTATTTTTAAATGTTTTCAAGTTTCTGTATATACCTCTAGATTTTCCCCTAGAGGTGAAACTATTTAGAGTTTCTCCATTTTTACCATAAGAGGAAATAAATAACGTTCCCTCCCTCTACACAGGCTGTGGTCCTGACAAACTCTCCATTTCCCTCAGTAATCAAATCAATACCTGAAGTACCAAATAGAAAGAAGGGCTCCCTGAAATGCAGACATCAGCCACAAGGCAGTTCACTGAAAGCAGCCCCTTTGAAACAAAGGCATCTGCAATTCCTTTTTCTAAATCGCCTTCTTTGTTTCTGAACAGGGTCTGGGCAGTGGCCCTGAACTCTCTACCTCGAAGATTTCTTCTCTGGACACTTCGATGCGGCAATGACCAGCTTGGGGCTGCTGAAGGGACAGTTCGTGTCTCAGGACCTTCAGCTTCTGGACTAGATCTCTTTCATATCTCTGGGCAGGAAGCTCCTCGTCCTCCACAGAGCCCTCGCTGGGCAGTGGCAGCGGCTGGCTGGGCTCCTTGAGTTGGCACTGGTGACTTGAGAAGAAGAGACACAGAAAGTCACTCCAAAGCCCCAGCCCAGAAAGCTGCAAGCACCCACATACGCGACAGGGTTGGAGGAGAGAGCTTGCTGCATGCAACTTCAGGCAGAATTTGCTTCCCTGATGACATAACCATGTACCTTGCTAGCTGTGTCAAAGTTGCTGATGGCCACAGTAGCCCAAATATAGGTCTACAGTACAGTAAAGGAGGCACCCCAGGCCTGGCATGGTAGCTTACACCTATAATCCCACCACCTGGGGAGGCCGAGGAGGGAGGATCACCTGAAGTCAGGCATTCAAGACCAGCCTGGCCAACATGGCAAAACTGTGTCTCTACTAAAAATGTAAGAAATCTGCCAGGTGTGGTGGCGGGCACCTATAATCCCAGCTATTTGGGAAGCTGAGGCATGAGAATTGCTTGAACCCAAGAGGCGGAGGTTGCATAGGGCCAAGATCACGCCACTATCCTCTAGCCTGGGCGACAGAGCCAGACTCCGTCTCCAAAAAAAAAAAGAGGTACCCCAATTCCAAGCAACCACTTATCTCACACATGACTTCTACAAATAAAAATGGAAACTGCTGTCATTTATCATGCATCTATTACGCACACATGAGATGGACCAGTGCTCTGTCAGATGCACCCTGGCAGTTAGAATGAAATGGAGATGATGGGAAAAAATGTTAAAGGAGCTAACAGAGAGCTCAAATGAAATCTAATGATAGGCACAAGAGCAGACAGCTCGAGTGAAATCTAATGAGAACCAGCCCTCATTTTTACCACCAAGAGATTTCTACACCTTCTCATTGAGAGAAAAATTTCAGTAAAAGGACTAGGATTAGTACAGTGACAAAGTGGCATTTGTCCTGTTCAAGTTTTGCCACTGAGACACAGCTGTTGGTTACAAGAGCTATGTGGGGGCTGGACGTGGTGGCTCACGCCTGTAATCCCAGCACTTTGGGAGGCCGAGGCAGGCGGATCACCTAAAGTCAGGAACTCAAGACCAGCCTGGCCAACATGGCAAAACCCCATCTCTACTAAAAATACAAAAATCATCTGGCCGTGGTGGCGGGCGCCTGTAATCCCAGCTACTCAGGAGGCTGAGGCAGGAGAATCATTTGAACCTAGGAAGCGGAGGTTGTAGTGAGCCAAGATCGCGCCATTGCACTCCAGCCTGGGCAACAGAGCAGGATTCTATCTCAAAAAAAAAAAAAAAAAAAGCTATGTGGGATATTTGGCTCTGAGAACACAACAGGACTGGAATACTAAATATGGGATCCAAGATAATTCCCAGTTCCAAGTTATCCAGTTACCCACTGTGCAGGCACTAGGGGGATATCACATTTCTCTACTTCTCAACCTAAGGGCCACGGGTGTCTAAAGTGCTGCATCAGGAAGCTTCCTTCATGAAGCTGCCTAACGCTGTCATCTCGATAAATTTTATTTAGGCTGCAAGTAAGAAAAGGGTAGCAGCAACATATGGCTTCAGTGCTCTTCACAGCTAATTTAACAGTTTAAAATATGCAATTATCCACCAAATGTTTAACGTCATTTTGACCACGCTTATTATCCAACCAGCAAGGCAATAGATAAATTCAGAAAAATATCAACCCAAGAAAAGATTCAATTCTCAATGAAAGAGGTCAGCAAAAAAAATTTTTAAGTCTTACTTCATGATGTGGTGTAATCTTGGGTCTGTAAACTGGGTTGTTCGGTTATTATGATCTACAAAATATATCCTCCCAGAAACTGTACTTCTGACTTCCCAGCCTGGTGGCAGTGGTCCAAGTTCATCACAATTCACACTGTTAAGGTCTCTACCAAAAGGGAAGATACAGAGAGGTTGGTCCAACTGAGTACAAAGGAATGAGATCAAAAGTTAGCCACAGAAGCCACAGAGGTTCCTTATCAAGGTGTCTGTCCCAACTCTGCTGAGATGGACCTTCGTGGTGCTACTTACACCAAACCTCTACTCAGCCCAGACCTTTCTGCTGCAAAGAGCAGCAACATCTGAGAGATTAAAAATGGAACTTTGAGGCACTCTGGGAGTCCGAGGCAGGTTGATCACCTGAAGTCAAGAGTTCGAGACCAGCCTGGCCAACATGGTGAAACCCCATCTCTACTCATAATACAAAAATTAGCCTGGTGTTATGGTGGGTGCCTGTAATCCCAGCTACTTGGGAGGCTAAGGCAGGAGAATTACTTGAACCAGGGAGGCGGACGTTGCAGTGAGCTGAGATCACACCATTACACTCCAGCCTGTGTGACAAGAGCAAAACTCCATCTCCAAAAAAACAAAACAAACAAAAAGGAACTTTCAGAGCTTATAACCATGATAAGGAACAGGGGCTCCCCAGCAAATATAATTTCTTATATGAAAGAAGGCCCAAATAGTAGGGAGTATCTTAGTGCTGCTGGAAAGCTATCTGAATTCACAAGTGTAATTAAATGCTCAAGGCCAGAAAAGTTTCTTCATTGAAAAGCTCCCAGACAGCACCAAGATTTTCAGGGCTAAGGAAAATACAGGAACATGCATCCAGAAACTCATGATTCTAAACAGTTGCACCAGGATAAGGCATTCTCATGGTCAAATGGGGTTTTTGTTAAACAAGTATTTTCCATTCTAAGAATGATTAATTATTCTCTTGATTAATAATTTCAACACAATCTACAGTCAGATGGGAGTGCAGATTTACTGACCAAGATGTGTTTCTAATTAACACAAAGCCTGCCATTTCTAACAGTGGGTACTAAAGAGATACCTCATTCATTTGCAGGTAATATATTTCCATTCTCATTAGAGTAACTGAATCATAAATTGAACACAGACTTGAAAAATCAAAGACAGGAAGTTTACTCTCAGATGAAACAGATTATAAATAAAAAGGAAATAAGCATTACTAAAAATCATATTTGGTAGTAATGCTATTCTAAAAGGGAAAAAAAAGCAAAGCAAAGAAAAAAAGAAACTTAACTCTGTTATGGGGTGGGGGGTTCTCTCTAACCTGGGTTCAGATGTATGGCCTTGTAGAAGGAATTCGTATAGAAAAGCTTCATCTCCCCCAGGAATGGTCCCCGAGGGACTGAGGCACGGGGACAGTAATGTAGAAGAGAGAAAGGGTAACAGAGTCTTTATATTTCCTTGACTTATGGAAAATTTTAAGCATATCAAAAATGAGAGAGACCATAATGAATCACTGTGAAACCAACTTCAACAGTGATCATGGTCAACCTTGTTTCAAAGGTCAACAATGACTCATGGCCAACCTTATTTCACACATACCCCTGTCCACTCTCCCCCCACCCAGCTTATCGGAAGCAAATCCCAGACATCAGTATCGTCTCATTCATCATATTTTTAGTTTAAAACAAGAGCAACACATCTGGAAGGGTATTGGCTTTTCAAGTCAACTGCTGGAAAGACAGCTTGGAGGGTGTGCCTTTCAGAAGCTTACCTTGGTATCCTGGGGTCGTGCCACGTGCTAACTCCAGTCTGTGTGTGCAAAAAGTAAACCTGGCCCTGGACTGTCGTTCTTTGTTCTGCACGAGAAATTAGGGATCCAAATTAGACAAGTTCAATTCCAGGGAGGGTTTGCCACCAACCCACTCGCTGTGCCCTCACTTCTGGTACTATCTAAATCTAGACAGCACTCCCTCTCTTATTCCAGTTCTTGTCTCTGAGGCGGCAAAATAATCCCTTCTCAGTCTTACCCCATGCCCTCCTTCCCAGAGCACTACAGGGACCCTCATCTTGCCTACATGTTATCTTGGTTTGCTTTGGTTTTCCCTTGCCTAAGATTTTCACATGATTTCAAAACTGGAATATTTGGAGCAATTGCTGAAAATTCATCATTAGCTAAATCTCGCACCATTTGCTTCCAGTTCTGTCTTTACACTGCCACAGTTATCAAATGGCATAGCCATGCGAGCATCAGCATTTATACACAAACAGGCTACTCGAAAGGGTTAGAGGCCAGGCGTGGTGGCTCACACCTATAATCCCAGCACTTGCGTGAATGAGGCAAGCAGATCACTAAGCCCCGGAGTTAGAGACCAGCCTGGGCAACATGGTGAGACCCATTCTCTACAAAAAAAAACACAAAAATTAGCCAGGCATGATGGTGCCTGCTTTTAATGCCAGCTACTCGGGAGGATCGCTTGAGCCAGGGAGGTCAAGGCTGCAGTGAGCCATGATCATGCCGCTGCACTCCAGCATGGGTGACAGAGCAGGACGTTGTCTTAAAAACAAAGTCAAGCTGTTGGAAACAGGGCAGATGTTACTGGCCATACCAGGGTACATTCTCTCACCGTAGCCTTCAGGCAGTTCCGGGGACTGGTGGCCGTGTGGTCGGTTCTGGGGCGTCTGCAGTGAACCTCGCACATCAGGGTTTCGAAGTCGCTGTGCCTGAAGTCTTTGATCTTGACTTGGGGACTCCACGAACCTGCAGTTCCCTCCTCCAGCAGCAGCACCGGTGCCATCTGTGTAAGGGGCTGGCTCCTCCATGAAGCAGCTGAGCGGCCTCCCAGGCCCCGAGTCTTCATACACCGTTCTGAAAGGGACGAGAGCAGGTAGGCATGGTGACACCATGGAGGAGTCGTAAGACCAGTGCCTTGGCGCTAGTGTCCTAGGGGACGCCCTCACATATATTCCTTTAACAATTTCGAGTGTTCCAATGGCCTGGTTTCGTAAAAATTCATCATGGGCCACTCAAACAGAAAGACAGACTCTTCCAAGAGGAACAGGTGGCCAGAGTGTCACCAAGGCCAACTGTACAATTTCACCATAGGGGAGACTGGAATGAATGGAAGAAACCAACTTTACACTGTGAAGAATTTGTGGAATGAAATTTCATTTTTCTTGATTTAAAATCACATCCAGACCAGTGCGGTGGCTCAAGCCTGTAATCCCAACACTTTGAGAGGCTGAGGCAGGCAGATCACTTGGAGGTCAGGAGTTCAAGACCAGCCTGGTCAAACTCCATCTTTACTAAAAATACAAAAATTCGCTGGGCATGGTGACACATGCCTGTGGTCCCAGCTACTCAGGAGGCTGACGCATGAGAATCGCTTGAACCCAGGAGGCAGAAGTTGCAGTAAGCTAAGATTGTGCCACTGCACTCCAGCCTGGGCAACAGAGCAAGACTCCATCTCAAAAACAAAATAAATCACATCTAAATACTCCATTTTCCTTGTTATTTTACTCTATAATGGAACTCCTGGTTACATAAAATACCAAAATGACTTTAGGTAGTTTTTAAATTTCAATCTTCACCCCCTGAGCAATTTTGAAGACAATTTACCTTAGTAGGCTACTGTCCCTTATAAGCAAATACTTTTATAAAACCT